ATTAGTTAATGGGTGTCTATAATAAGCCAAATGTAATTCTTGCAAATGATGGCAATTTTCAATCAAATTTGTGATTTCAATATTTGCAAAATGATTGTCTGATAGTATGAAATGAATTAATTTCCTTTCAGCCAAAACTGTCCAAATTCTTTCCCAATCAATAAAATTCAATCCTTGGATTGCAATCAAAGAAAGACATTTAATTTGCTTGAGTTGTGCGACAATCCATTCAAGTGTCGACACGTTTAGCGAACAATCGCATAGATATAGGTATTGGATATTTGGGCACCGGATTAGCACTGAACACAAGTCATCGTTAGTTATAATGTTTTTATTAATCCAACAGTTGTTTTGTCGAAGGGCTGGACCTATCAATTCAATAATTAAATTTAGTTACATTTAGTTACAAAATTAATTATTAATTAATTAAGTCTGGAATTTCAAACAATTATGAATGGATTTATAAATATTATAAGTTTTTCTATAAAATTCGAGTACAAAAATAATACCCTGATCATTAGGGCCTAATGTGATTTATATGAAATAATTATATTTATAAACAGGTTATCTGTCAACGAATTCTGTGTTACAAAACACTTGTGTTGTAAAGAAAACAAATAAAACGAGACATACATTCGTGAATCTTATAGTAAATATCATTGCAATTGTAATGATCTCTTAAACTCGCTTTGAGACCAATTTTAAGCACTTTCTGTGCACTGAATATGTGAACAATTAATTGATGCCAACGAAGACACACGCATTCAAGTAATAATTTCTGGTTTATGTCGAAAAACTCAAAAATTGCTTTCAAACAGTCGTCGTTCAGATCATTCACATTCATTGCACACATTGTTTTCCATACATTTATGGACAAACTTTTTATCAAATGATTACAAGTTATGTATTTTGAAACCTTTAAAAAATTACAATGAGATTCAAATCGCAAGAATTGGAGATAAATAAAGACAAATATATATTTTTCAAAATGGTTTTCACGACTCAATGAATTAAAAATAGAGTGAAAATAAAAGTTTTCACCAATTTTTGGCTAAATTCCAGTATTCATACCATAAAACACTTTTTCACAAACTATTTCTTGTAAACAATATTCAAAACGACCGGAAATTTTGAATTAAAAATATTGATAGTCGAGTAAAATAAATAGCGTAACAATTAACCATGATCATAATATAAGATACACTTATAGGCTATAAGTTATAATCTCAACCAAGAATATTCTGTGCAACGTGTATATCTATATAAGATTAATAATCTTAGATTATACATTAATACCAAGTATTATAAGTATTTCTAACTAAAAAGTTAATCCACAACTTATTCAAAAAACTATTCAATGCAATCAAATCAGTAAAAGTCAATATTTATTAATCAAAAGTATATAATCTGTATAACAAATTGCTATTACGTTAACAATGTGTGCACTTTTGCATTGAATGCATTTCTTTGCCACAAATCTCAATACGTTTGGGCAAAAAGTAATGCAAAAATAGGTTAACTATTAAAATGTCAATCACTTGACTGACATTTATTACTTCAATACTTATAACACATTTAATTGTGGAAAAAATTATAATTAATTTAAAAATACCTGTTTTTAAGAGAAAAAAAGTAAAATAAAAGTTTTTCTCATAGACTTATTGAACAACACATACACTACAGTATAGGGGAGTGTTGTGTAACACATAGGGAACAGTATATACGTGACCGGCTGTACATCTCTACATGGTGTGCGTACGAGTGGGCGTACAGTAGGGCCGCGAAAGGGGAGCAACGAATGGAGAGCACTGTAACGCATAGGGAGTGAAAGGAGTGATAGTGTTGTTGTCGTAATTGATGTCGAGTTGTGGACCAAATAGAGTGATATTGTCTGTCATATGAGTGCATAACTCCTCCCAAAAAGTATTACTCATTTATTTTGATCGCCATTTCTTACCATTAAGTCGTGTCCACACAATCACACGACACCACTCTCTCGCAGACACTCATCACTCGCACTCACGGCAAGTGTCACCGCAACTGATCCCAAACACAGGGCCGTTGATCCGCAGACTGAGTGGCAGTGGATGGACGTGTTGTGGCGGTGATGGCCACCAATGAACACAATGAGGCCAACAACCCGTACGCGACGCTCGCGATGACGGGCAACGACACCATTCAAAGACATTATCAGACATTGTTTCGCAAATACGAGACACTAAAGGATGATCACGAGTCACTGCGGAAGCGCTACTCGGATCTCGTGGGCTCTCACGGCGACTACGTATCGAAGCTCGAGTCGGCTCAGGAGGAGAGCTACAGGAACCGGAAGAGCTTCGAGGAGAGCATTCAAGAGCGCAATCTTGCCATCATTGAGAGGAATGGTCTGAAGCAACAGTGCACTCAAGCCATCAGACAATGGGATAAAGCTCTTCGCGAGATCAACGAACTGAAGGAACAGCTGAGCAAAGTTCAGCACCAGAGGGATGAGGCGCTCAAAGAGATCAATCACGCGATGTCTTTGCGCATCAAAGCGGCCAAAGACATGACACGACTGACCGAAGAGCGCAACGCCGCCCATCAGGAGTACTCATTGATTATGTCTGAAAGGGATTCCGTCCACAAAGAGATCGAAAAACTACAGGAAGAACAGCAAACACTGCTTCGGAAGACCAAACAACTCGAGGCCGAGAAGAAGACGTCCGTCGAAGAGATCGAGAGTCTGAAGCGAGAGATCTCGTCGGCGCTGTTCGACAGGGATCGGGTGCTGAAGGCCTGCAACGACTTGCGCGAGAAGTACGGCGATTACGTGACCGGCATTCACGACGACGTCCACAGCCCGCGATCACCGCACGCGCGCTCCGGAGGGCACAACTTCTGGGGCTCGTCGTCGTCGGGTGTCTCCACTTCGTGGGCTCAGGCGATGTCGAGGAACACAAACCTCGTGCTGTCGGCCGCGTCCAGCAATAGCTCGATGTCCACATTCAGTCACCCGCAGACCAAACAGTGCAGTACCACAAGACTGGATAACATAGATCAGGCCAACTCCGAGATCGAGTCCCTTCGCAAACAAGTGGAGCGCTTGCAGACAGATCTCGCAGAAGCCCAACAGGAGGTCGAGGTCTGTAAGCGGCGACGCGATTGGGCTTTCAATGAAAGGGACAAAATAGTGCTCGAGAGGGAAAGTATCAGGTATTGGATCCTATCTTTACTTTTAATTACCACTTCTAAATGTCATTGATATGTGTTTTGCAGAACTCTTTGCGATAAATTGCGACGAGAGAGGGATCGAGCGGTCAGTGATTTAGCGGAAGCGCTGCGAGAGTCGGACGATATTAAGCGCCAGAAGAATGAGGCGACAAAAGAGTTGAAGGAATTGAAGGAGAAGTTTGAGGGCATAAAACTGGAAAGGGATCCGCGGCCTAAGTCTCACAACAATTCCCAATTGGGAACCAATAATAGCAGCCGTGACTCAGCCATCGAAGCGGACCTTCAGGAGTACGAAATGGAGACAATGACTGTCTCATTGAAACGAGAGCTTAAGTCCAACGAATGGGGTTTCACTATCAGATCCGACGATAAGACTGTTTGTGTGGATAAAGTGATGAAAGATAGTGTCGCCGACGGAAAACTCGTGGCCAATGATATTCTACTGAAACTAAACGAAACTTCGATTAATAACGACCTGAAAGTGGCCACAGATTTGCTTAAGAAGAATGATTTGCAGCTTATTTTATCGGTTCAAAGAAAACGTGTGACACGTTTTGTACAAAATGTGACAATCAGTGTCGAGAAGGGCCAGGAGTTGGGCCTCGAGATAGAGAGTGGTTATTACGTGAGTCGTATTAACGCCGGATCTGTTGCGGCAAAAGAGGGTAATATAGCGGTCGGAGATCGGGTCATATCGATCAACGATAAGACATACGACGAGAAGACCGTCTATGAAGTGATGCAAATCCTGGAGTCTATGCCTAACATTGTTTTGCAAATAATGAAAAACAATTCCAATGTGTGCTCGCAATCCAATAGCAACTCATCCATTGTTAACGCTTCCAAAGGCAGCTCAGAGTCGACGGACTCGAAGCCTAACCATCGAGAAAGACAACGAAAAATGGTGTCGACGCAAACCGACAACTTCTTAGCTCAACAAAACACACCCAAACCTCCCGTGCCTTCCGTTTATCAACCAATCAATAGTCGAACCAATGAAGAGACGAATCCATTGGTTAGTTCTGCTAACAAGAGTGCGATGTCTTCGTTCGCCAATTCATATACGTCTTCGTCGGTGACGGCGCACGACGTGAAGCCCACGTCTCCGCCGGCGCCGACACTTCTGGACAAAGCGTATAATAAGATATACGGCGAACGCAAACTCCAAAACTCGAAAACAAAACAAATTCATGGCTTTTGCGAAGACGAGACCAAGACTTTGGCCGAATTGGACAAAGTGTTGGACAAATACTCGAACGGCAAGACATACGAGAAGAATACAAAATATGTAAAATCTGGTAAAAGTTCAAAGAAGGAGAAGAATGGGGGAAATGGGGGCACTTGGCCTAAGTATAGGGGCCATCCGCCCGTCCCTAATGCACAAAATTATGGTAACGTTAACGCAGTCATGACTTTACATCCTATTAAACGCAAAGAACGCAAATCCTTAGGTATTTTCACCAATATTTTCACCAAATCAGAGAAATCGCCCCCAGGTTTGTGTGCTTTACCCCAATTGGCTCTTAAATGGTTTACTAATTTGTATTAATTTGATTCAGAATCGAAAGCTATGGCACAACAGCCGCCGACAAAGTCTGCAGAAGACAATCAGTGTTTGAGTAATAGTATTAAAGATGAAGGGATGACACCATCGAGTTTCCTCATCTTCGAGCCCGCGTCTGAGGCACACCTCAAGGACTACGAGCGCAACACTAAACGCAACTCCACTCACTCTTCCCGTCCATCGACTCTCCAATCGATAGGCAATCAAAAGCCAATATATTTACCGAACGGACAATCGTTTAACGGCAACAAAATGGAAACACTGGATCTCAAGATCTATCATCCGCTCAAAACAATTGCAAACTCAGCGCTCGACTACTCTGTAGTGTCGGCGCAATCGAAAGACAAGAATGTTTTGGATTATTACAAACACCGGACGAATGCTAAGCAATTGAGACCGCATTCAGTGCATGACGTGCTCACAGATGTCACACAACCGGTCACTTCCAACACATTAGCCATGACTGCCGACCATTCGTCGTACGACTCATTTCAAGCGCCGACCGCCTCATCGCCGCCCCCGAACTCGGCGCCCATCCCTCCCATCAGAAACCCCACATCCTATGCATACTATGCGCTCAACAACATATCGCACCCGCCGTCAGCCCTTCACATTCATCACAACCATTACTCTGCGACCCAACCGTTGACGCGTGGCGTCGCTCAGCCCTCTGTGCGCCACTCGACGAGCCCTCAGAGTCTCATCTCTCCCTTCATCTCCCGGAGCGGCGACTCATTGTTGAGCGGCAATGATAGCCAAATGCATTCGCATGACTTATCCCACTCCAGATCTGTGAGCGCATACCAGGGAGGGGTCCGGCCCTACACTGTCAAAGACAATCTGGTCAATCGATATAGTATTACACCCTCGCCGTCGCCCTCACAGTACAGCAGCGGCCTGTTTGGCGGGCCGTCGCCCTCCCATAGTATGGACATCATAACGCCTGTGCCCTCCGGCGCGCACTTTCTTCACAGCATAAATCAGGTAACAATTGCTTCACATTTCCGCTCATTTTATCTGATGATCGATAAGTGGTTTAGACTTTTTTCAATGCAAACTTTAAATACAATAATTAGAACCCATTTTATGTAATGTTTTGCAATACTTTTAAATTATGAGAATTTGAGTTAAAGACTACATAACCGTAAAAAGCTTTGAAATGAGTTATATTTATGTTGAAATTCATTAATTATTTGGTAACTGACGTGAGAAAAGAGTTGTATAGTCTGTGTGTGAGAGAGGACTGGTGTTGACTGAACTGACCCACGAATTAATGCTTTATTGCGTAAACACATAACGAGAAACTCGTAAAACATCTAAACTTTTTCTCGGTTTTCTCGAAATGATTTGTTTATTCAGTAAAACGTTGTGATGAGTGGAGAGCTCTCCAGAATTCTCGTGTCACTGAAATGAGAGCAATGTCTTTGACGACAACTGTCCACAACATTACCACACATTTAAATGATATGTTAAATACAGAGTGAATGATGTGACTGTCATATGTTTGCGTTGAGCGTAGCTTTTAATGTCTAACCACACCATAAACTTGACCATAACTTTGATGTTAGCTTTGCATTGATTGACTCATTTGTGATGATGTGATGTTTCAGACAAAACGAATGGTCGCTCCACAGCACACACATCAAAGCCATTTACACCACTCGAGTATTAACAACACCGGCGTCTATAGAAGCGATGACAACAATCTGGGTCTTCCCTCCTTCGATGGTTTGTCCACATTTCCCAAACGCAACCAACGCTTCCGAATCCCATCCAATCAAAGCGTCACCTCTAAGTCGTCGACCGGTAAACTGTCGACCAGTTCCATAGACAAGGCCTCGTCGTCCATACTGTCAGACCGGGGAAGTCCTATGCCCTGTGCCTATCACATCGATTGGGTCACTCCTCTCAATGGCTCATCCAATGGCGTCCATCGCATTGCAAAACCCGGTAATTAGACAATTCTTGAATCGATTTTACATTTATTGGACATTGAATTGAATGAATGCTTGCATTCTTTAGGCGATGTCAGAAACATTTCAATCGAGAGGAGTTCCGCGCCATCGATGGGCATAAACATCGCTCCGTCGGCGACGGGCGGTGTATTCGTATGCCATGTAAACGAAAACAGTTTGGCGGCTCAGGCGGGCCTCTTAGTGGGCGACCAATTGCTAGAGATCTGTGGCATTAATATGCGAAACGCGACCTATAAGTTGGCGGCCAATGTGTTGAGACAGTGCGGGAACAACATCTTAATGATGGTTCAGTACAATCCCGACAAATACGATGAGGACAACGACTCGGACGACGTCGACGCTGACGAAGACGACGACATGGAGGACGAGGACGCCGACGACACGGCCGCCAACGACTCGACGTCCACCTCCACTCCTCAGTCGTCACCCATGGATAGCAAACCGCTGTTAGTTCGGGCCAACACTGCCAGCGCTGCCATCGATGCAAACATTCCGAGCTCTACTAATTCAACGCTCACCCGATCGAAGGCCGCCTCCAGAAGTGCCTCAAACGCCAGTCGAAACACCGAAAAAACTTTGACCGACTATTCTATACGAGAGAGACAGTCGTCGTTCAAACAGTCGTCCAATGTTTGCGATCCCAGACGTATTGTTGTGAAGAAACCATCGAATCTGGGCATCAGTTTGTTTGGCGGCAATGCTGTCGGCATTTTCATCCATTCTGTTCGCGACGATTCACTCGCCAGCGGTTCCAATGGCTTAAAACCCGGCGATCAGATATTAGAGGTTTGAGATTGACTTGAAATTAATTTTTCAATTACTAATACATTACCCAATAGTATAATGGCGTCGATTTACGAAACGCAACGGCCGAAGAAGCGGCCATCGAGTTGGCCAAACCCGCCGAAACGATTACACTCGTCGCCCAATACAATATGGAGAGTGAGTTTGCGGTCTAAATGTTTATACGAATGTAAACTAATATTTTAATTTTGGTCCAAAGGGTTCAAAGAGATTCAGGATCAGCACACGGGTGACTCATTCTTCATCAGAGCCGCATTTGACAGGCCGTCAGTCGACGGTTCGCTCGCTTTCCGAAAGGAAGAAATCCTGTTTGTGGACAACACTATGTTTAATGGAGTGCCGGGTCTGTGGAGGGCGTGGCTCGTCGACCAAGAGGGACAGAAAGTGAAGTGCGGAGTCATTCCCAGCAAATACAAAGTGGAAGAAGAGCTCCTAATGAAGCGATCTCTGACCGACAGCACCGGCGAAAGCGGCTCTCGAGGCGCGACGTCTGCCCGAAGGAGTTTCTTCCGGCGACGCAAAAGTAATCACCAAAGAAGCAGTTCCCGTGAGAGCACCAGAGAGTTGGCCAGCTTTTCGGACGTGTCTATCAATAGTTTCAGCGAATCGGGCGCTATAACTGCCGAAACCGACTACAACTGTCAACTCCTGCCCACGACTTACGTACGCGTCGAGAGACTCAGCTATAAGACCACCCGTCCTGTGATAGTGATCGGTCCCCTCCAAGAGGTTCTGTCCATTAAACTCGAACAAGACTTCCAGACAACGTTCAAACGATGCGTACCGGAGATCATGAAGGGTTCGCAGCAAATGATGGAGCGATGGCTTCAGGACCTGAAGTTAGTCGACTACAGACGCGATTACAGGGGCTCTCAGGGCTCGCACTTTGAGTGCATTACAGTTGCGGCCGTCAAAGAAATATGTGATAAGGTTTGACTCAATTCAATAACAATTTCCAATTGTTGAGTAAATAACTTATACTAACCATTGGTTTGTTTATGTGAATGTCCAGAATCTTCACGCACTGCTGGAAGTGAGTCCCACATCAGTGGAGCGACTCATCAAATGTCAAATATATCCGGTTGTCGTGTATTTGAAATTCAAATCAACGAAACAAATAAAGTATGATTTGTTAAGCATTGGGTAATGTTTTTAAAACCATAACTAATGTATTGTTTTGTGTTGTCTTACAAACAGAGAGATCAAAGACCATCGCTATCCCAATGAGAAGTTGACTACAAAGGCAGCCAAAGAGATGTTTGAACACTCTCTCAAAATTGAAAGCCAATACAAACATCTGATTAATGGTAAGTGTCTTCAGTTGTCATAAACCCATATATTGATCAATAATTAATTGTGTGTTTGTCTGTTCCAGTGGTGATCCCGGGCTCTAACCTCTCCTATATGTGCACTCAAGTGAAGACATGTGTAGAAGAAGAACAAAACAAAGCCCTTTGGATCTAATGATGGATTGTTTTTATGAATTAAATGTTTTTATTTATATTTGAAACAGTAATCATTGATTACGACCTAAACTGTTGTTTTTATTTTACTTTAAGATATTTTATTATTGAATATACAGTACCTGTACTTTTGAAACCCAAAATCAATGAAACAATTGTTTTTGTGAATCAATTCACACTCTTTTTGATTGATTTTTCTATTTTGGAAATCTTTTAATTGAAATATTGTTTATTAATTAAATTTTATTATTAATTAAATGTTTTACTTAAAAATAAATACCATTTAATTATTTGTTGAATATATTTGAATCCAATTAATTAATTAGAGAGAGAGAGCTTAAAGTTGATAATATTTCAAATAAATGAATAAATATTTACACTAAAAGTGTCTTAAAGACATCGCAGGTTTGAAATAGATCTAAGTGTTGGTGGCGGCGGTTAATCAGATCCATTCTTCCGGGGAGTGAAAGTGTGAAAGTGATGAGTTGTCTGTCATTCGCGCCACTCGTTTCATGAGATGAATGAATGGAAATGAAGGCAATTGTTTATTATCTGTTAATTATTTAAATTGTTTTTTTTTGTAAAATAAATAATTATATCAAATCTGTTATAAATTAAATAAAGAGTTATTAAATAAATAATTAAAAGTTTGTCAAACTTTGGCAAACATTGATGTATTTGTCGGACGTATTAATTGTAAGGATTGGCAAACATTTCAATCACTTTTTATTATACGAAACGATCCCTAAAAAGACAATTCTGTCGCATATTTTGCCGCTAATATATCATCCATTGTTTATAACACACTCTTTGGGACCAATTGGTGGTGATGTCCGGCATTTCTATCGCACGACTGGCGGAGGAACGGAAGGCGTGGCGAAAGAACCACCCGTTTGTGAGTTGCCATCAATTGCTGGCATTATTAGCCATCAATTAATCCATTATCTAATTGTTGTTTCGGTTAACCATTTCAGGGATTCATTGCCCGACCGGTGAAGAATGCGGACGACACTCTCAATCTGAAGGACTGGGAGTGCGCTATTCCTGGCAAAACAGGGGTAACACTCTTATCATTGATTTGTCACTCTTATGGGATCTAATGTATTGATAATCACATGTAATGTCAGACTCCATGGGAAGGCGGACTCTTTAAGCTTCGGATGCTCTTTAAGGACGACTACCCGTCGACTCCGCCGAAGTGTAAGTTCGAACCGCCGCTCTTTCACCCCAACGTCTATCCCTCGGGAACCGTATGTCTATCACTGCTGGACGAGGATAAGGATTGGCGTCCGGCCATCACTATTAAGCAGATCTTAGTCGGCATTCAGGATCTGCTCAATGAGCCCAACATCAAAGACCCGGCACAGGCCGAGGCCTACACCATCTACTGGTATATTATTTACGGACAAATTGATTGAATAAAACTCTATAATAAATGTTTTGCCTTTTTATGACTTGACGTGATTTGCAGCCAAAACCGTTTGGAGTACGAGAAGCGTGTGAAGGCTCAGGCGAAGTCTATGACTCCCAGCGAGTGATCACTAAATGGTCACCAATTGTTCGCATTAACTGTTTTCTATTTTTGTCAACAAATATATTTTGTTTGATTTTTTCTCTCACTTTGAAGTCATTTCATACTTATTGTCTATTTTCTTAAGATTGGCAATAGTTTCAGTTAATTGTCTAAAAATAATAGTAAATCACTTTTTCATCACAGCTTTTCTTATATTTCCAATTTGTTGTCACTCTTTAAACCAATTATAGGCTATAATTAATAGAAAATTAGATAATCGAAATGTGATTAACTTTTGTTCCTTCTTTTAAGTTACGTGTGTTTTATAAAAACTGATTCTTTTGCCAAAATTGTATTTAAATTACATTTAGTTTATTAAATATTTGATTCAAAATAAATTGTTTTCAAAACAATCGGAAAAATAATTAAATCTAATATTTTTTATCATTTTGTTAATGAAATGAATGAATGATTAGTGCATTGAATGTACGGTTAGTGTGTGAGAGGGGGAGAGACTGTGTGTCACGTGATGTGCATTGCGTTTGAAATGCAATGAAAGCATGTTTTGAAACATTCAATCGTTTGTCTCATTATTTGCTTTCAATTGTCTGTCATTTGTGGATCTGATCTGAAGAACTAATCGGTGACAATGTCTTCGTTGTTGATGTTGAGCAGACAGTTGCTGAGACCGAACCTCATTAGCGGTGGTCTTCGGGCCAACAGGACTCTACTCGAGACCAATTCAATTGGGATCAGGTATTTGTTTACCAATGAAATCTTGGGAATCGATGGTTATCTCCATACAAGACAACGGATCAGCTCACAGTTCGGACAGTTAAGAGGTTTGATATCTATTTGCGTATGAATTGTCTCATGAGATGGTTTCATGTGTTTTGGTTTGCATTGTCTTTAGAGAAATTCTTCGCCCGAATGGAAGAGTTCACCACAAATGACAACAAAATGGTGTTCACCGAAGACCTCAAGAATGTTATCTTTTTGTCCGAAAGTAATGAACACGAGTTAAAACTGATGAGCGATGCCATCAAAAAGTGCGTCATTTTTTATTAGTTTTAACTCATTTACGGTTTCATAACTTTAATGGTCTGATTGTCTTCACCCGTGGGTTAGGTTTCACACACAGAACCAATCGCTACAATTCGGGACATTTGTTTTCGGACCAATTGTTTTCAGGCTTTTGCACCACTTGTCTGAATGGCAATTAGCTCTTCAACTCTTTAAAGATCCCGTAATTATAACTGAAATTTTTAAATCTAGTGTTTGTTATAAAATTCACTTTAAATTCAATCAATGTTTTTGTAGGAATTGAAAGGATTTTTTAGTCAAATTAAAACGACAGTCATTTTAATGAATTTACTGTTCATTAATGGTAAATACGAAGAGTGCGCCGATGTCTTCAAATACATCCAAACCGAGAACCACTTCGAGACCAAATACCCGCGCGATTGCCTCCTCTTATACATGGCGTCTGTCTATAAGATTGTAATTATATTCACAATAATTGTCATCAAATATATATTGATATGACTTTGTATTCAAACCAAACCCAGAATACGCCGGAAGTGTTTGACGAGGCGTTAGAAGTGCTGAGAAAAGCTCGAGAGGCCGGAGCTGTGGTGTCGAGGAAAACGATCTGTTTGTTTGCCTCTTTGGCTCTAAACCAGAATCAGCCGAACACTGCGCTCGAGATTATGTCACTCTTGACGCAAACCAATTACATTACTGTCAGAAACTTAAGACTTATGGCTCTCTCGGATTTGAACCGATTTGACGATCTCTTCATTACACTAAAAGTGTTACTCAATCGAGACGTTCCCTCATTGAAGGCCACCACCGGACAGATTCTCGACGAAACGGTGCGACCATTTGAAGCAACAAATTATTACTCAACTATAACTGCTTTTTGTGTTTGTTTTGCTCTTTAGATGAACCGAATTAAGTCCAAAATGAGCGAATCTAACGATCAGAATGTGGTGACAGAGTTCCAGCAGATCGAGAGCGGTCTCGTCGATGGCAATCACATAACGACCACTCCATTGAGTGATTTGCTGTTAAGTCCGGTAACACTGAGGACAGACCTCCCGCCCAGAGATGGACAGAGGCAACAGTTTGAACGACAAAGAGGTTTCCGAAACCCCGGCGTTCAACAGACTTATAGACAACGGCCACAAAGTCGGGCCAACGAAGAGTTTTAGCGTTGAATTGTCCCGTATTTAATGCAGTCATTTATTTTATACATTTGTAACTGAATGTTAGCATTAATTATGAGTTTAATAAATTAAAGTCGATTTATTTCTCCATTTATATGTCATAGAAAAATAGTTTTAAAATTAGATTTTCATTACTATTTGAATTGTTTTAAACGATTGCAACTAATTTGCGATAAAATAATAAAAATGTCTGTCAAACACATCCATATGTTTTAATTGAATGAATGATCAAAACCCGAGTCTAACCCTCGGGAGGGAAGGTTTTAAGATCAATGGTTACAAACAGTATTACTGAATGGGTTTAAGTTATAAACGGTTTCCATAACGACGTGAAGGCGTTTAGGGCTTAAAACAGCTTTAAATGTGAGAGAAGTGCACAAAAAGTGAGGCATTTTTGCACACATTAGACAACTCTTGTAATTATTTGATCCAATCGTCACCAATATGTCGGCCAATCCATTGAAACAAGTGTTTGAGTAAGTATTGAGTGTGCATCACATCCCTGGCGTATTCATTCAATGATGATTACTTGATTTAATCCCAACAGTTTCATCGACTCTCATGCGGGCGAATACGTGAAGAATTTGAAGGATTGTGTGGCCATTAAGAGTGTGTCGGCGCAGTCGGACACGAGGGGCGACACGATTGCGATGGTTAAGTGGATGGAAAAGGTTTGTATACATTGGACACACATATGGGAACAAATGAGTGATTGGATTGGATTTGATTGGGACAGCAATTGACTGCCGAGGGCTGCAAATGCCGGTTAGTGGACATCGGAAAGCAGAAGTTGCCGGACGGCAAAGAACTGCCTCTTCCGCCCGTATTGTTGGCTGAGTTGGGCTCCGATGCGAAGAAGAAGACGCTCTGTGTTTACGGACACCTCGACGTACAGCCGGCCGCCAAAGAGGACGGATGGGATACCGAGCCCTTTGTGTTGACCGAAAAGGACGGCAAACTGTACGGCAGGGGCGCTACCGATGATAAGGGACCAGTTCTCGGGTGGCTTCACGTCATTCAAGCCTTTCATAAATTGAAAATTGAAATTCCCGTCAATTTCAAGGTTTGTTTGAATGCTTTTCATTATATAATTTATATAAAAAGTTTATTAAATGTTAATTCTTATCATTTATTATCAGTTTTATATTTGAAATAATTATTTTTAATGTTATGTCTAAATGTTATGCATTGAAATAGTTATCTAAAACTCTATTATTAATAGTATTTGATAAC